GGAGGTATGAACTTGGAAGGCATCTTGGGGGACACAGTGACACTTGAGTATTGGAGAATGAGCTCCTTTTGGGAGTCAGCTTTGTGCTGACCACGAAGATCTCTTTACAATTGGGAGGTGACTTATGTCAGCCTGAGGCCTCTCTCGTACTCTTCCACCGCCCCCCATCTGGGGTCATTGTGTGAAGGAGGCCTCAGGACTTCAGTCCTCTGGGGTGGAATCTCAGTCCTTCCCTCTGCAGTGTGTGTTCCTTCCCCCGAAGCCCCAGGCCCAGGTTAATGCTCCCATTTGCCAAGGGAAAACCTGGTCTGTTTTTCTGGAGCAGACTTGAAATGGTCTGGGATGGGCTTAGAGATATCTTGAAGACATAGTACCTTATTTCCCTTCTGCAGGGAATGTCTGATTTATCCCCGTTCTACAGGGGCATGCCTTCCCAGGGGCATGAGGCTTTGGTCCTTTCCCTTCCCCCTGGGAAGCTGGGTGCCCAACTGAAATGGGGTCCTCTGCCAGCTGTGAGGATAAGAGAAGAAAGAGCCCTCTGCTTTTCTCTGACTCGTGGCCTTGGGGAAGAGAGCCAACCGCACATGCCAAAAGGCCTGCTCTTCAACAAAACAGTGGCTGAGCTTTCACTGGGAGAAACTGAAACTCCCACGTGATGCCACACCTGGGTAGATCTTCTTGATCACTTGCCCGGCATGTGTGGTCTGTGACTGTGTCCATTGCTGCCTACATTTGGGCACATGGGCCCCCTACTGTCAGCATTTCAGAAGAGACCCTGGCAGACTCCAGAATGTGCCACACAGCAACACATGGGCATCTTAGGGTGTCCTTGTCCAGCCATATACAGCCATGGGGAAAAAGTGTTGGGTGCAGGTGCAAGATGTGACCACCCTACGGGTATGATGTAGGGCCTGGGGTCCATGACCCAATGGGTCACCACCCCAACCCAGTCACTTGTTATCAGAAAGCTTGAGGCAGAGAGTGTGGGCAGCTCAAGACAAACTCATGACCACCACCTGGGACACACTCCATTAGGCCCAGAGGGTGGAGTTTCTAAATGTCGTCAGGCACATCCTAAGCAGGGTGGGGTATGAGGGGCTTCAGGGAGATGCTGACTGCCTGCCCAAACGGGGAGGGGAGACTACTTTAATAGCATGCTCCGTGCCTGCTGCTTTTGAGCTTTGGGGTCTGGAATGCAGAAATTTGCATGTGTAATTTTACCAAAAATTAATTAAAAGGCTAGGACCAAACCTCACTGCATGCCTCCCCTGGCTGCTGGGGAATGCAGAGCTGTGCAAACACACCGCCCTCTGAGCCAGACGCCTGCACACTCTGCCTGTTTTCCAGGCTTCTCATCCAGATGTTTTGGGCCAAGAACCAGGTTAAGAATGGGAATTGCTGACAGTTTGGGGATTTTCCATTGGTCCTGATGGTCAGAAGTTACTTAGAAAGCTTTAGGCGCTTTCAGCAACATTCTAGAAAAGAAAAGGTGGCTCCTGATACTTAAATGACATAGAAACTCTTCCAAGTTAGTGTCATACACTGCTGGTGGGATGGGAATCGCTCCAGCTAGATGGGAATATAACCTGGTCATGTCTGGTGAAATTTAAATTACACACGGGCTTCGTTCCAGAAATTCTGCATGTGTGAACCTATTCCACAGAAACAAAAGCACCAGAATGCGATGTTATCTGTACAAGGATGTTTATTGTTTGCAGTGGCAAGAAAGGGAAACAATCTGAAGGTCCATCAACAGGGAAATGATTTAATCAACCATGGCACATCTGTACAATGGAATATTACACAAAAATCTAAAAGGATGAGTTAGCTAACCAACTAGCTGTCAACTCGGGGGTTTCATGATGCAGTGTTAAGTTAGGGAGGCAAATTGCAGAGGAATAAATATTATATGTATGACTATAGTATTTTCAAAGGTGTAATCAAGTAAAATACCCTTGCTTATATATCTAAGCACAGTAAAAGTGTGGAGGCTGCACCTCAGGCTGGAAGGAAGGGGTGGGACTGGGAAGATACAGGGAGGCCAAAAAACAAAAAGCACAGGAAAATGGGGGGTGGGAAGCATTGAATGAAGTTAAGTAAACTTCAGAATATAAAAGCTCACCTGTTTTATTATTGCAAATACACACATTTGTATATGCAAACGGATAAGGACTAGGAGGTTACAGAAGGAATTTAATCAGATTGCTGGGATTGTAGTAATTTTTTGTTTTAAATTTCTGTTGGAATTTTTTTTTAAGAGACAGGATCTTGCTCTATGATCCAGGTTGGAGTGCAGTGACCTGATCATAGCTCACCGCAGCCTCCAACTCCTGGCCTCAAGCAATCCTCCTGCCTCAGCCTTTCAAAGTGCTGGGATTACAGGCGTGAGCTACAGCACCCAGCCACTGTTGTAATTTTAATGTCACTTTTCCAATAAACCTATATTTTTAAAAGTTAACACTTGGAAGGGGCAAGAAAGCAGCGGCTGGAGAAATTATTCACATTGTAAAACGACCATGCAGGAATAATTCAGAAGCTCCTCATAATGGCTTGCACACAGTAGTTGCTCCACGACCCTTCACTAAAGCGAAAAACCAGATTCACAAAGCCGTTACTCCACCTTGCGATTTGCAAACATGAGCAAGGATGTTCAGGCATGTACAGTTTCAATGAAAAACTCCATAAACAGAGTTTGCATTGGAGTCACTATGTACAAATCCACTTCACACCCCACTTCAATCTGGTTTCTGGGACAATTAACAAGATGAGAAAAGACCGCAATTATAGAAAATGAACTACATTATGGCCTACGCATTTTCGCATCAGAGATGAGGTCATTTTGCTTAGGTGGCTCTGTGTGCTCTTGTCATTAAACTTAGGAGAGCCGGGAATCGAAATTTTGATATCAGCCACCAAGTATTTTTTCTGTCTTTCTTTCTTGCCATTGTTATTATTATTTTTTTAAAATTAAAAATTGGAATGCAAGAAATAACTCTTACATGTTCTGCACTTTTTTCTCGCTCTCTAAGTTAAAGGGACTGTGGCAGCAACGTGGGGAGGGCCTCCGCTATCTGCTGGAAGGCGCCATCCCCCAAGTGCTCCGCCTGTGTTCATGTTAATACCTTCTGAATGTAACCTTGAGAAGAACACTGATGGCCTTGGGGACTCAGCACAAGAGATGCCATTATCAACACTCTTGTTCTGAAATACTTCTGATAAATTGTCTGATGATACACATTTTTTCCCCCTCACAAACTCTCTTTAAAGAAGAATTGATAATATTTAGTAGCCGTTTTCTCCAAATAATGATTCAAGAATTCCTGGGGTCTCTGAGAGTATTCTCTGAGGGCATTAGATTCATTATTTTGATTTTAAATTAGATTCATATTTTGTTACACATATCTTTAATGAATAAGGTGGTGTATCAAGTCTTGGTTATAGCATGAATGAATTCTTTGCTGGGTTTCCCTAAAGACACAGTTTCTTTTTAACCCTACATTTTTGTAGTGATACATGGTTTACAGAAATGATGTGAACAGAACTGATAGAGATTGTGTAGAGCACAATCTCTACATAGGTGCATATTTATATGCTTTTATGGGCATATATAAAACGTGCACATAGGATAGAGGGACATTAGAAGCAAACATGTCATTAAAACCTTTTTTCTTAAATACATGGAATATTTCAGGAATGGGAACAACAAACACTTACCCTTTGTGTGAAAAAGAAAAAAAAGAAAAAAGAAAATCTTCAT